GCCCTGGACTTCTGGCACGTCTTGGCTTTTGAACTGTGATTTCATTTCTTCCATATTTTTCTGCATATCTCTCCATCTATTAGGATAAAATTTTCATATCCTGTTTCCTTGAAAGGGAGATCAAGAAACAGACCAAAATAACAATATTTTAAAACTAGCTCAAATGGTAAAAAGAACAAAAGTAAGAATAGCATATGGAACATAAAGCATATGGAACATAAACAAGTTTTCAAAATGTTTAACCAAATACTCTCATAGGGAGCTTACTGATTATATTGATGAGAGCTGAACAATAACAGTTTTGTCCCCCAAATATTTTTAAACCCACCCTAGTTGTTAAACCATGGCCAATACAGAAAGCTGAAAGAATTAAACGCCAACCACAACCTGAACATTTGTATGTGTATTCCTATCAGAAATTGATTTTAAAAAGGCCTATCTTGGTGTTCCTGGTGCACAGGCCTGCTTGTGGAGATGGATTAGCACAGCTGCACATATTCTGGGTCCATTTGTGCCTTGACAAACTATTTGTTACTGGATACACATCAGGAGACCATAAAATCAAGGCTGGTTGAAGATATGTAGCTGCACTAGGTAATTTGGGAAAGGTGCCTTGGGTTGAGTGCTTGTGGCAAAAGGAGTATCTTCACCCTTCATATAATTAACAATATATTCTACACTGCCATAAAATGTGTTACGCACTGGGTGTGATGGCTTTAAAAAGAGAATGGAGTTTGAAAAGAAAGTGTGACACCATAGCTAAAAGGAATCTTTAGATCAGGGTTTTTTCCAAATTTTCAGTGCTGAAGGGAAGTGATAAGAGTTGGCCCCTGTTTGAACCTGTCTTGTCGGCTCAGCAGGATTGAAATCATGTTTGCTCCAATGCCAAAGTTGCATCAGACAAGGTTTTTAATTTGTTTCTTGCTATGGACTGCTGGTACCACTATTTTTTGCTCCTTTGTATAGCCATTGGGCGACTTAAGAGGGGATCTTGTTGTCTGTTTTGTTTTCAGGCATTACCTCAAGAACCTAGAAGAAGTCTGGTAGCACTTTTTCCAACTTAGAGCTTTTATTAAGAGGCTTAATAAATAAGTTGCTGTTTGTGAGCAGCAACTCTATGCATCTGATGATCTAATGCATTTTAATAACATTTGTTAGCCAGAAAAGATGCTACCAGATGTGTTTTTATTTTTTGCCACTATTGATTCTCCTACAGTGCCCTCAAAATCCTAATGTTTAATGTTTCCAGTAAGGGTGCTGGATCCAACTGGGGGAGGGGTGAGTGGGGGATTGCCTATCCTAGCATCCACTTTGCCTTGCTGTTTTAGAGTAAGCAATCTACCAAGTGCAGGAGCTCATTCTGACATTGTGCTGTGCATTTAAGCATGCCCATACCTGTAAATGCACAATAACAGTTAACAATAACACTATAACTCAAGCCAAACAGCTGTAATATATACTTCACTTGTTAGAAGTATAATAAGAATGGCTTCAGTTTAATGCATACTTTCCGGGGTAAGCCTTATTCAGTTTATAAAACAGATTGCATTTGCAAAAAAGGATTTTTAACCAGCTGAAATAAATCTGTTTTCTTTAAATCATAAAAGCAAGTAGCCTTGCACAAAAACTTTTCCATTGAAACATCAGTGTATAATAGCACGATCATTGCAGAAGAAGAAAACGTGTCTTTGCTTGAACATTTTCCTCACTTTCTGACTTCCGTGGTTCTATTCAGTTGCAAACAATAGTAGAATGTGAAAATGCTATTATTAATTCATTGAAAGGAAGGAGCAGGTACGTGATTTCAATCTACAATCACAGTCATTCATGCACCGAAAATATCCCAAAGCTGCATTCTTCTGCACTTTCCCACCACAGTACACCATTGAGTATGCTGGCTTACCTATGAGAAGGCATTTCTGTGTATGAAACAAACTCTTTGAAGTAGTAAAAATGGCACTTGTTCTGTATTCAATGGGCAAAGTTCTTAGCAGGCTCTCCTAGTATCACCTGAATTATCAGTTGCCTTGATTTTGAGCCTCTCTGCATTAGTTGGCTACCAGAGAGCAGTTGGGGGAGAGCTAGCAGGTGCAGAGGCCTGTCAAGCACTTTCTCCTTTCCATGTGGCTGATAAAAATAAATATCCTTGTGCAGCCTCTGCAGCTAGAACAGCTGGGCATGCTCCTCCTGCATGTCCCTTCCATGTCCTTAGAGGCTGCTTTGAAGTGATTGGCAAAGTATCTTCTGTGTGGGAGCAAGTCGTGCAGTGAAGGAGCCCTTCCCTACTCCAGCTTACTAAGCTGAGCTGTCTGGGCAACAGCCCCTCCTCTTATGCGGGCTCTGGTGAGTGGGTTCTGGTGAGTGAGCAGGAGTGGGAAGAAGACCATGGCTAGTCAAGAGGGGGCTTTGACAGAACTGTTAGTAGATTCTGGAAGAATACCGCACTGCAGACAGCAAGGAGCAGAGCACGTCCAGAAGGGAAAGAAGTGTGGTAAGATTTTGAGGCTTGCTATCAGCTCCAATGCCACTTGAAAGGCAGCCATAGGAGGGGGCAGCAAGCATCTCCTTTCTTGCTAATGGGTGGTTGGCAGCAGGGCCCACAGGAGGGTTCTCTGGGAAGAGTTTCTGGGTGGACCTGACCTCTTCTGTCCAGCCTTTCCTTTTTTTTTTTTTTACAGGATTGATTTGTGCCTGATTATTTTTAGCACCTCTTGTTGGATGGAGATCAGTACAGAGCTCTGCTGCTTTTTCCAGGGGGGGGGGGGAATCTGTGCACTTTCACTATGCTGGCAGTTGGGCTGAGGGAGGGGAAATGGTACAGTAGCTCCTCCAGAACAGATAGGGGCTGCTTGTTTGTTTGTGCCTGTTTTGGAGAAAAAGTGTTTTATCTTCAAAACGGTAGATGACTAAATGATTATTCCCTTTGGACCTTTCCTGTAGCATAGAGGGACTTAACTGCTGCTCCTACTGCAGCAGTACAGTAGCCTTGGCTGCAGTTTTGATAGCCTTGGTCCTTCTATGGCTTGGTGGATGGAGGGCATAGACTGTATTTATAGAAATTGTAGAATTTCTATATAAAAGTTCTATAAATTTTATAGAAAAATGACTTCGTTTTGACTTCGTTTTTGTTGATTAGATAGGTTTGTTGTTAATAGAAATGGCAAGTATATACTATCGTATAAAAGTAAAAAGTTGAGGTTGTAATGTTATTATCTTCTACTGTTCCAAAGAGAGTTTGAAGTCAATGCCTTTTTTTCTTTTTCCCTTCTCGACCCACATTTTTTTCTCTTTTTTCCTTTTTTCCTTCCCCTAGGTTTTTATTACTTTTTATTTTCCTTTGTATCTTATATTTTGATAAAAATTAATACAATTTGATAATAACAAGAAATTGTTGCATGGGAACCATGCTGGTCTTTTGCATGGAATAAGAATGTCGAGGAAAGAGCAAAATATGCAAGGGATCCTGGAAAATACCAAGTGTGTTCGCACATAGATGGGCATATTAGTGTGTATGTGTTTTAGAGAAAGCATGTTTCAGATGCCACTAAAATAGACTCCTAGAAGGAAGGGATAAATCCTTTGGCTGGGAAAATCTTGGCTAGTGTTGTTCTCTTTCTTGTAATAAGGTGCCACCCTTTCCTCCCTGCCCATCATCAGCTTTGGCTGAGAGGCAACTGGCAGCTAAGCATGCAGCACAGATGCCCTTGTTCATAGATCCCATAAATAGTACTGTCAGGTAGACAAATGGTGAAAAATGTGCTAAAGAGCAGTCTGGGAAGGCAAAGGTAAATACTGCAGAGGTCAAGGACCACCTGTGTGGCTTCAACATTTCCTTTGATTAAATGTTGAGTCTTACAGTTCTGTTTGCACACAATGGCTTTTCAGAGTGGAGGACTTGCCTTGATAGTTTATGTAGCATGTACGTGTATTGAGTAACAATGAATGTAAGTTGGAATACATGGCATATTACATTTTCATCCAGCACTGTGTATAAATATATTAATCTCTGTATTACTGGATGTTGGTATAATTTGCTGCAGAAGTGTTGGAGAAAAGGTGGTAGATTCACGTTGCCTGGAAGGATGAGTCTTAGATACAGCAAAGGTTTTAGAGCAGAATCTCCATTTACATAGAGGCAGTCAAAGCAAGGGAACTTTCTTAGGAGGCAGGAGGCATCTAAGCTTTCTGCAGAGGGTCTAGAGCAGTGTTTCTCAACCTTGGCAACTTTACGATGTGTGCTAGCTGGAGAATTTTGGGAGTTGAAGTCCACACATCGTAAAGTTGCCAAGATTGAGAAACACTGGTCTAGAGGCTGCCCAGTGGCTATGTGTGATGGAATCTTGGGCTTGTCCCAAGATTGTTGATTCTTTGGTGCTGGACTATTGCCTAGTTTGTTTGGCAAAAAGCAAAGTTACCACAAGACTCAAACCGAGAGCCGCTTGTGTGTGCTGCGGTAAGCTAGCTTCTCCTGTGCATTGACTTTTTTTGTGTTTGCTTGCTGGGGATCTGGGGAGAGTGACTTGCTGAAAGCTCCACTGCTTGCACCTGGCACACAGGATGAAAGTGCTGTTGGAGTGCAGTTCCACCCCATTTTATTCTCTTCCCTTTCTTCCCCACCATGTTGGAGCTAGCTTCGTTCCTCAGAAGAGGTTGTAAGAGTTCTCACCAGAGGGGGCTGCAACAAGAAGGCTTGTTCTGGATTTGTAACTTTCCCTGTAGCAACAGGTGCTGCTGTGCAAGGAAAGGGAAGTATGGTTGGGATTGCAGAGGAGGGGGAAGGTTTCTGGACTGGGGGAAGTTGAAAGAGGAGGGTGTATCTTCTGTTGCTGAGCTGAGACTGTATGGGCTGAAGAACCAGGGGCCCAGTTTGGCTGAGTCAAGGCTGTGGCTTGTTAATGATTGCCTGCAAGTGGGGAGAGGCCCTCAAAAGTGGCTTTCCGTGCATGTATTGTGTGCCTGGGCCTCACCTTCGTCTTTCTCTTTTCCTGTTGCAGGTGGCAGGAAAACCAGAGCAGAATCATCAACAGAGGGGGAGCATTGGTTTATCGCCTTGGCCTGCTTTTCCATTATCCCTCTTCAATTTGGGGTAAAGTTTGGAATTTTCTGTAAATTAAACCCCAGAAGCAAAAATCTGTAGCAGCTGCCTCTGCCCCAGTTTCCCCACAATGCCATCTAATGGGCCAGTTGACACCAGCAGTCCTTCTGCGGACCGGGAGGCAGTCGATGCTCACAAGGTAAGAAAATTTCGGGTGGAGGCTGGGATCACTGCTGGTCCTCTTTCCTATGGCTAGATGGCCCATATATCTCCTTATGGGCCATCTAGATTATGGACTATCTAGGTTAATTATGGTTCACACAACATGAATCCAAGCAGGATAGAGTATTCTGTGGCTCGACATAGTATGGGAATCCCACAATTGTGTGAGCAGGTTATGTTATCACATTAATATGCTTCGTTTGTTTGTGCTTAGAATATTCCATAAATACAGGAATTGGATTTAATTAAGCATGTCAAGAGTTTTAATATGTTGTGTGAGGCCAATTTGTGATTGGGAATTGTTGCAGTATTTATTTACTTCTCTGTGCAAAACTGTATAGCACAGGTAGCATGTGCACCATCTGCGTATTGCTCTAACTAAAGTGCTGAATGTTTGGCATCTGTTTAATCCAAATATTAGGGATGGAATTTTCTGCTGTGATTAATTTTCATATCTATTAATTAGATGAGAATTACAGAGGAAATGGTGCAGAATAGGAGGAAAGGGAGAATTCACACTTGTTGATGATGCACTTAAGATTATTTTATATCCATGTTTGATGCTTCAGAGAGAAGGAAAAGTGTGATGAAACGAACATCCTCTAAGCATGCTTAGGGCAAGCATGTTGAGCGAGAAGACCTGCCTGTTGAGCTTTCAGGGTGATCCACAGAAATTCCTTTGTCAGTCATGCACACCAGGAAAGTGAAGGAAGATCTCAGTCATTAGAGTGTGGGTTTGCAAAGATTAGATATATGAAGGTAAGCCTGTTTCAGTCAGATTGAGTTGAGAACTGTAGGCTAGTGAAAGAGGATAATTAGGCTTATCCTAATGTAGGAGTTGGCACTGCTGCGTGCTTTCTTTGCAAGGAAATGAGTGCACCAAGCAGCGGAGTAGCATGTGTTGGGTGATAGGGGTGTTTGAAGTAAGCAATTTGTCTCATCTCTGTGACTGCTGACATAGGGGCAAAGTAGAGCCAATTATGGAATTCAACATGTAGTATAAACATGGAGGAAATCTTGAGTAAAGCCTGCATTTATGTATTGACTTAGTTGTCCTGCTTTGACCTCTGATGACACCAGTAAATTGAAAGCAGTGGATGCAGATTGTGAGAATCAATTAGACATTTGTCCCTTGAGGAACATAAAACAATCTCAGTTACTGCTTGTGGGAGTGGAGATGTGGTGAAGTGGTTGTGAGAATGTGTTTGTGTCAGTTTGCATTATAGCTGAAAGGATTTGCTAAGAGGGAGCATGATGGGAGGAACATTGTTGCAGGTAGAGCAATTAACCTCAAATAAATGTGGAAATGGTAGATCTAGAAATAACCTATTGCAAGGAATTGTTATAAGAACTTCAGATTGTGGGGTTCTGATCCAGAGTGTTGTGTATCTAAGCTAAATGGAAATGGGATTCCCAGCGAGTATCTGAATATGGCACAGTTCAGTGTCCTTTAGATTAAACTCCAGCCCACAAAGCTGTAAGGCCTTGAACTAGTAGCATTCAGTGGTGCTGTGAGTCACCACCTCTTACACTATGTGCCCTGTGGTTGACAGGGTTGCCATCTCTTTATCCCACCAAGTTTGCCTAGGAGACTGCATGTACAGTAAGTACGGCTGCTGAGGCTATGATTCAGACAGCTCCAGGAAAGAAACAGAGGCTGGCAGAAGCAGGACTTACTGGAAGGTATCATCAACCTAACTTTTTATATATTTGCTTTTATATACATTATTGTTCATCCCAGTGTATTAAACACCATCAATATAAATCAGAGAGGCAGCAATCTTGACAAATAGGATTTACTCTGGGGTTGCTGCCAGAAAGCTGATGTGATATAAAGGGTGACTAGTACCTGAGAGAAATAGATGCAAGTCTACTCTCAGCCATGGAAACCACTAGGTGACTTTGGCCAATTATCTACCTCAGAGGTTTCATTAAAAAAAATGGAAGAGAAGGTACAATTATGTTGCTTTGGTTTCTGGATAAACAAATAAGAAACAATCAAATAAAGGACGAGCCTAATATCTGTGCCAGCCAATTTTCATGAGGAAAAGTATTCCAAAATCAGGGCTCCACCTCCAAAAGTCCTCAACATCTGTGTGGCTGCTGACAAAAGGCAGGTTGGAATGGAAAGTTCTTCTCTTTCCAATGTTTGTATTTTTGTGCATTAAAAGTTGATCCAGACATCTTACATTCACTCAAAATATAAATAGGCAGCTAATGTAATCTTTAAAGAATTATGGAATCTGCGTAATTTTTTATTTGGATTTAGGCCCAATTTAAGAATGGAAACTGCCTTGTTGTCCTGATAATGGTCCTGTGCTGGAATGTGATAGGGAGGGATATTCCAGATGGTTTTGCTCAATGCACTTGTGGTTTGGGATACTATAGTAGCAGGTGGCAACTAACATGTGATCTTGGTAGAATTAGAAAACTGAACACATTTAGTACTTGGATAAGGGTGCAACTTGAGAATTCCAGGGTTGTAGACTAAATTGAGAAGTTCAAAAAGTAACCCACGAGGCAAAAGTAGATGGATATGTGTTGGTGTAAATCATCAACTTCAAGATGACTTTACTTTTTTCTTTCCTTGAGCAGTCCAAGGATACAGTACTTGTGGAATGTTATTTAGCCTCTGGGGTGTGAAATTTTACAGGGAACTGTTTTGTCTCATAAATGTGTTATGGGAAAGATCATCTGGAACGTTAGGTTAAGTCTCATAAATATATCGCATTTGTGGAAATACTGAATGATTAAATGTCCTTAATCGGGTAGCATGTATTTATTTGTTTATTCATTCAATAAATTTATGTAACTGCCCATGTCATATTTGTGACTTACATGACTTACAATTAAAACATACACAATACGAAAAAACACAGAATGCAAATAATACATAATACAAAACATTAAAATAATTAAATCTGTCCAGTACAGTAACTCATAAACAGTACAACCATTTTATGGGTTCTACACCACTCTTTTATCCTCAGGCCAGATGACAAAGCAAAATCCTCAGGATCTTCTGGAAGGCCGCCAAGGTCAGGCAGGACTAGCCTTACCTTGGGGGGAATGATGTTCTGTAGGGCAGGTACAGTATCAAAAAAGATTCCACCTGGAGATGATATTCTCCAATAAACAGAACCTACAATAGTCTCTTCTGCTAGACCTTTGCAGACGACACCAAGCTGGCAGGAATAGCCAACACTCCAGAAGACAGGCTTAAGATACAGAAGGATCTGGACAGACTTGAACACTGGGCACTATCTAACAAAATGAAATTCAGTGGTGAAAAAAGTAAGGTTCTACATTTAAGCAAGAAAAACCAAATGTACAGGTATAGTATAGGTCAGGGGTAGGCAACCTTGGCTCTTTTATGACTCATGGACTTCAACTCCCAGAATTCCCAAGTCAGCTGACTCAGGAATTCTGGGAGTTGAAGTCCATGAGTCATAAAAGAGCCAAGGTTGCCTACCCCTGGTATAGGTGGTATCTTGCTCAATAGTAGCAACTGTGAGAAGGATCTTGGAGTCCTAGTGGACAATCACTTAAATATGAGCCAGCAGTGTGCTGCAGCAGCCAAAAAAGCCAACACAGTGCTAGGCTGCATTAACAGAGGGATAGAACCAAGATCAGGTGAAGTACTAATACCACTTTACAATGCCTTGGTAAGGCCACACTTAGAATACTGCATCCAGTTTTTGTCACCACGATGTAAAAAAGATGTTGAGACTCTAGAAAGAATACAGAGAAGAACAACAAAGATGATTAGGGGACTGGAGGCTAAAACATATAAAGAACGGTTGCTGGAATTGGGTATGTCTAGTTTAATGAAGAGAAGGACGAGGGGTGACATGATAGCAGAGTTCCAATATCTCAAGGGTTGCCACATAGAAGAGGGAATCAAGCTATTCTCCAAAGCACTTGAAGGCAGGACAAGAAGCAACGGATGGAAACTAACCAAAGAGAGAAGCAACCTAGAACTAAGGAGAAATTTCCTGACAGTTAGAACAGTTAATCAGTGGAACAACCTGCCTCCCCAAGTTGTGAATACTCCAACACTGGATGTTTTTAAGAAGAGACTCGACAGCCATTTGTCTGAAATGGTTTCCTGCCTGAGCAGGGGGTTGGACTAGATGACCTCCATGGTACCTTCAAACTTTATTATTATTACTGTTGTTATTATTATTAGTATTAGTATTAGTAGTAGTATTATCTGATATGAAGAGCAGATATCATTGGGAAGACGTGGTCCCTCTAATAATCCTTGAATAATTTAAAATATCATATGGTCTATTTGGATATGTTTTTTTAATATCTCGGTTCTTTTGAAAGGAAAGGAATGCAGCAAGAGTGTTGAGGAACACTTGTGTCCCAGTTGAAGTTCCATTTAGTCTGCCACCTGTGCTTTTGGGCATAGAAAAATTTGGCCAGTATTACATTTTAGATTACTCTATATCAAGCTGCCTCTGAATAGTATTGAGAAACAACAACTAGTTAAAATCTAGGTATCTTGTCAGGGGTGTCCTTGGGGGAGTCATATAATGTACTGCAGGCCTGCACAACTTGTAGAGGGGAAAGGGTCACATTAATATATTAAAAAGAATTGCAGGCCGCAAAGGAATAGTTAGTGTGCTGATCAGCTAGGCGAGCAATGCAGTGATGAACTGACCATGTCACTGAGGTGTGGAGGTGTCTTCTGAGGCAGCAGTCAGTAAAGTCAGCAGCCTGTTCTTTAGGATGGCAGCAATGTTGGGGGGGGGGGGCAGTAGATTTATTGATTTTTTAAAAAAATGCCAATACAAGTTTTTGGGTGAGCCACATGCAGCCTATAGTCCATACCTTGTGCAGGCTTGATGTACTGGAATGAATGTTTGCTTCTGGGCATAATTTATAGTTCTGAGTTTGGCCTACCAATCCCTAAAAAGTTGCCTTGAAACAAGATGGGTAGAATAAAATAAAATAAATAAATAAATAAAA